CCGGTATAAATAACAACAAAAGTGTTTCTTACGACTACAGAAGGGAATGGCAGAGAATATTCCCAGAGTTAAGAATAGCTCATACGTCCACACAATACCAAAATTGCCCAAAATATTAGCCATTAAACTAAGTATTGCCGAACCCGTTAGGGTCTCCCACGGAATCTGTGACCAGACTATGATTTCGGCGCCGAATAAATACAACAACAGAATCAAAGGCCACATAAGGAATGCATTCATTAAACCAATTAATGTGAAGAATAGTGACATTTGTGCGAAAGACGTGTAACCAATCATTCGCTTAAAGAATACCTAATAATCAAATTAACAGAATATTCTTATTAAACATACATTGTATCATAATTTATAATCAAATTATCATCACTCGAATGGACACATACTCTGAAAATAGCTGAACCGATGGCAGAACCGAATCCAATCATTACGGCCGCGAGGGTTCTGTGCTGTTGAACGCCATCCATATAAACCAATAAAGCGATTCCGGTGTCACATATTATCACAGCAACGATCTATTGATCACAAACACAAATCCAATCAATACAAACGCAAACAAAACATCAAATTATGTGTATAATAAAGTCATATAATAATAATTAGATTACGAGTGGAATGCCATAAAACTCTACTAACTCTGATGCCGACAAACTTCTGATGCAAAACAACCCATGAAAGCAAATACACGATTGAGACTGAGGTCGAGAACATTGCCATTACGACAGTTATGTCGAGAATTCTGAGCGAAAATATAAGCATATAGTTTGTGATCATCCAAAGGACGCAAAAGAAACCACAGCGGGTGAAGAACTGCATTAATGTGAACCCCTTCTCCATAAAGCCCTGGATACTTTCACTGCAATTGATAACAAATAGCAAACAAATCAATCAATCAATAGTTGTTTTTGCATTTATTAATAAATCACTTACATTAACATCTTTTTGGTCGATTCGTGCTCTTTATTGCAGCAAAACAATTGGCTTATCGTATAAATTGGCAAAAATAATATATTCCAGAGCGAGCAGAACCAGGTGGCCAGGAATGGGGCGTCAAATACCACCTCATAGTCCTCTTCCAGTGTATAAGACTTTTTTGGATTCAAATTTTTTTTGGTTATTATTGTATAAAATAATTTCAATAATATTGAGTACAATCAATGCTTACCTGCGGAGAGATTTGTTGCGTTTCCGTATTGCTATCGCTATTCAAATGTTGAGTATAATTACTATTGAATTGATTGGTTGTGAACGCGATCAAAGTCTTTTCGCTTTTGAAACTAATTTTCATGAGGTATAGAGTGCCCACCCATGACAGAGCTATCAATAGCATGAGCGCTATTCCGCGGAATATCTTCGATGTCTTGTTTGCACACTTGTCGTCGCTATCCTGGCCTTCAGTGTCCGACTGGTCGTGAATGCCTAACGGATCACCTAATCGTTAGTACAGATATTTTTAATATAAATATAATACTATGTTTACTACGAGGTTTTCCATTAATGTAAGCTAATTAAATGTAATAAAATGTTTATTACAATAGATATCCGATAAACTGGGGTATATCTGTCCACTTGAGCTCAATACTTCTCTCATATTCACACGTGTAGTAAATGTTTATCAAATACAGTATATTATGGGAGGTATACTATTTAAATTGGCAAAATTTATTTTAAATTCGTATACGGACTCAATAGTTAAAACACTTTATTATAATTTTGGACATTTAAATGACATTTTAGAAATCACAACTCTATCACTAATGATTTCTGTTTGTATTATTTGTATACTAAATAACGGTTAAGATTCTTATCATAAATTGTACGTAAACTTTGAATTCTATACATTTTGTATACAGGTATCAATTGAATGAATAATACAGTACAGAATTGTTGTATGGTTTTTAAAATTCATCAAAAATTTAATACACAATAAAAATACATAATAAGGAAACGGAAGTTGACAAGAATTTAGTTCAAGAATCTCTACATACATAACGTCATATAAGGTATAAGAATATTCTGTTGAAAAATTCTGGCACATTCAACAGTATTAGAGTTTCACTTTATATGTAAATATACTTCATTTTTGCATATTTTAAACGTATTTTTAGACAACTGCTAATGCAATGCTTTTTTGTTTTATAGACAAACGCTTAGATTTTATGGTTTGTTTATTAAGCTTTAATTAAAGTTATATTATTGACGTAAAAAGCAAACTTTTACTAGTGTAATCAAAATCATCGAGCATAAAGTAGTATTTAAATACGTTTTAAATGACTTCCTTTGATTTAATTAAAAATGTAATTTAAAATTTTTCAAATCGATCATTTTAGAATTAATTTCCTAATTATCAATTAAAACTTCAATGCTGTTACTATAGCCTATGCAATAATATTGTCCAGTATAAAGGAATCGTTATCTAATAAACAATACATTTTGATTTAATTTAATCTAATATTTATAGTTATAGTTCCCGAAAAAAATCATTAAAGTTAAAAAATATGATTAACACTAACACTAAGTACTAAATTATTTTTGAATATTTAGATTGAAATCCTTAACAAACTGTACAATATTACAGTATGCAGAATATTCAGTAAAGTGTAAAATTCGTTTAAACAAATAGCTATTATAAGTGTAGCTTATTTATATACTGTACAACACTGTACGAACAGGTATTCACTAAATATTGTTAAAATGTCTTAAGAGAGTGAATATTATAAAAGATGTTATAAAAAAGAAAACGTTTAGAACTCTTAATACAAAGTTAGTAACATTTTATCATTTTATAAGAGTTATTACGTTAAAAGGAAAATTGATTCTTAATTTAACGAAAGGCTTATATGTTCTCAACTTTATATGTGATAAGATTTTATGAAAATATGTTTTTTATTAGAAAACCTTAAAATCTCATTCACTATAGACAATGAAAGTCACGCACATTCTGTCAGGTGATATAATGTGTTATTTAGGTTTTAATCAAACAATAATAGTATTCTTTTCAATAGTAAGATATAAGTTGACAGAATTTGCAAATATTCTGTATATATTATATATGAATACAGTATCTATAATATAGATTTTATATTGTATGATATTTATATTATATATGCAGTTATTATAATGTGCATAAATAAATGTCTTATTAATAAAATATATCACTAAAAACAGACTTGATTTCTGTATTTTCAAAGGATTTGTGTAAATCTGATCGACATTGGGTTTATGTCACGTCTCGATATGTTTTCTAGATATCACAGATTATTAGTCAAACAATTTGATTGATTTTCTATTAATAAATCTTTTTAAACTTATTATTAGTTAAACTAACATTCCTATTAGACTCGCCTATAGAGTACTGTAGTTATCATTACGAATAATATGATAAAAATGGTCCCAAAATCTCAATAAATCAAATAATTGCTGTATTTATGATGACATTTACAAAATAACCTTAATCAAATGAATACTAAAAAGCAATTATTAAAAAGTAATTTCATTAATAATTTATAAAATAAATTGCAATTAAATTGCAATTTGGTAGAAAAAAGCCAACAAAAATTCAAAATGAATTATTCGACTAATTATTAACATTTCATTTAATTGATTGAGAAGTTATAGAAAAGGTTAAGTTTTGGGATTAGTTTTCTCTGTATTGTGTGTATTATTGTGATGATAAGTGTCATCACATTTAATACAATCATATTGTGTGCAGTGAAGGACTGGTATCAAAAGGAAACGTTAGGAAAAGCTTTCGTTTGCTCACAAAACAAAGATATCTCACAATATATTCTGACAGAAGTGTCGACTTAAATATTAATATATATAAAAAAGTCGCAAATATTTTATCACTCAATTAGTCTATAAAAGAGACACAAATCCCAAATCCATGAAAATAATATTCTTTGACTGAATTTTATATAATAAAAACACCTTTGCTTTGCATTTCCTTTGCATCAAATAAATAAATTCATGAAATGCTATCAAATGTTTTGAAAATATTTTTCACAAATAACATTTCCAAGAATATACAAATAATTATATAATTATCTTAATAGAGATTAATGTCAAATGTTCATAATATACCGGATGAATCAATTCCGTAGATTCCGTGAGCAGTTTGCGAGTCAATTGACGGCCGGGCGGATGCGGACCGGGAGTACGCCATCACATCGCCGAAAGAGGCCCTCCCGGGAGATGGGTATCGAGTGCCGCTAAGAATCATACCGTTCCCCAAATCAACGACCGATGGATTAATGGCTAAATTGTAAGGCGATGTGTGAGCGGACGTGTGGGCCGTCTCGATGTCGTCCTTCATCGACGGCAACGTCGTTGTGAAGAGTCGTTGTTTAGTCATCGCTAACACTCCCGATATGGATGAGATCCGGGGCCTAAAATAGCCGCGTTGTGCCGGCTCGGCCTCTGTCTCCGCACCAAATCCTCGCCACATATTTCTTATATTACGTGTGCTTTTAATTGATCACTAATTTATTTATTAATCAATTCTTCACAATCTTCTTGTGTTAAACAGATTTTGTCATCAATTTATTAAACACTTGAATTCATTATAATATCCAGAAATGAATGAATCGATAAAAGTTATAATTTGCATTGTTTCACACAAAATAAGTTCCTATTCTCTATATTATTTATATTTATATAAATTTATATATTTCGTTAACAAAATAACAGAATATAGCAATCATTACAAATGATAAATGAATGAATTTTAAAGCAAATTGACGCCAAATGTAAATACATTAATGAAAATGTTTTCAAAAGCAAATTATATCCACGAGTTGGTCTCGATTCACACAATACGATGCGTTGATTGCAAAAACAGATTTAACGCCACAAACAAACAAAACTATTCAAATATTGAGCCAAATCTCAATAACTAACTTTAAACGCGACACTAAAACTCAATCTTTTGGTACAATCTATTCAGTGAATAACTTTTAAGTGAATACAAGTTGCCTGAAAGACTACTATAAAATAATTGGCTTTTATATTACAAGTGAGACATTTCTGAGACTTAAGAGTTTATACACAAAAAAAACTTAATTCACGACAGAATAACATTATATAAAGTAATTCTTGTCAATGAAGAAGGCATTGGTTGGCGATGGTTGAGAGCGCCTACTGTTTGGTTCAATACTTGTGTGCGATAGAGAAACAGGTGAACACAATCAAAGCCACGACACGACGGAATTCCCATCAAATGTATTCACGAATAGATATCTCTTCAGCGGATTCTATGGATAGCAAACGCATGCGTTTTCGTCCATTAGTGCCAACCATTCAAACGAGTTATATATAGAATATTCTCTGAACTTATATTCTGTACACAACACACAAAAAGTTAGACAAGACTTACTGTGTATAAAAAATATATCTTTATATACAATATATAATGTTTTACTCTATTGGAAGCAAAATTTAAAGAATTTTCTAAACATAAAGTTATAATAAGAATTTGAGGCTAATTTTATCGCTAATTATCAAAACAAGTATAGTATTGTTTGTCATCTCATTTATAAAATGCATTTTTCGGAAATTAATTTATTTATAATTAATGAACGAAACGATAATTCTTATGCAATTCCGATGGAAATTAAGCTTTTTTACAAAATATATATTATTAACGAAATGAATATAAAAGAGATGAATAATCTATTACTCAAATAATTAAATACATTTTGTTTTACAAATGACCCAAAAAGTATAATTGGCATAAACTCGACCTAATGCTATAAAAAACATTATGTATTACACAGAATTGGTTATACAATGATAGCCCGAATTTTTATACCATAAGAATTTAGTATAGAATAAATGTATTGAAAGGGTGGGGTTTTTTAGCTATGCTTTGCACGTCTACTCAATATATACTGCATATCGAGAATAGAATAGAGAATTTTTGGTCTAAATTAATGCCTAAAATGAGTGTTAGGTTTAAGTCAAGGCCAGAATTATATATTTTTGATAATGTATTGTAATTGTAGTGTTTATTATATATATCACATACACACCGGTCGGTTGTCAAGAGCTCATCTAATAGTAGTTTTGGTTATGGGTTATGTGTGGCATTGGGTCAACAAATGTTATGCACAAACAATTCAAATGCAATTTCTAACCACAAAATCAATTATTGATTTCGCCTTTCAATGCGATCCTTAGAGTCCTAAAACTAACCCATTATTTGTCAATCTTAATAAACATTCAATTTATTTTTTGCGCAACTTTTAGTACAGTATAATACCTGTTTAGCATAAGCTTTGTGTTTTGGTATTTTTGTAAAACCTTATTAAATACTAATAACTATAAACCTTTGACTTATTTACAAACAAGTTGTGCACAAATAAGTTAATAATAACTTCTTTTTGTTGCAAAAAATATCTGTAAATAAGTCTATGAATAGAAGGCAAACAGTAATAGAAACGAAAGAATCGATTAGACGAGAGGCTCAACGCAACCAAACTCACAGAAAATCCCTTTTTCTCTCGTATTAAACGCGGTTTAGAAAAGAAATTTAATTAATTAACTCACAATCGACTGATTGAACCAAAAACTCATTTCAATTCTGTGGGAAATTAGTTTTTTCCGCTTTTTGTGTTTTGAATCAATAAATAATTCAACACTTTATTACATAAGCAATGAATAAATAGATTATACATTTGCTTCACTAATAACTTGTTTTAAATCCTATTCTTTCTCCCGTTGCCATCGGTTTACGCGTAAAGCCTTTGTATTCTTGTATTGCTATAGAAAACGGACAACACTTTCATGTATTTTCATAATAGACTTCGCTTTCCATGCGATTTATTTGGATATTCCTTTATATTCGGGTAATACTAGTTGTTTTGTATGGTATTGTTGGGTACTTTCAATCTACCGACGCTCTACTCATCAATACTATGAATGTCTAAAATACTTATAAAACTAAATAAGAGAATAAATTCTTTATACAATTATATAAAGAATCCAAAATTGAAGTGAATTTTATAAACGTTTCAAAAATAAAATTCAAAATTTGAGAATATTGAGAACGCTATAGCAGTATATTGTAATTATATAATTGAATTCTCGCGAGTATTACACAATCTTTGCTAATGAATATAAAGTGAGAATTTGACTCGAATTTTACAATGAAATATATATTTATAAAAGGCTTGCTTTTAATTAGACTTTAATTTATGATTTAAATTGTATTGAATATAGAGCTCATCGATGGGCAAAGAATATCACGAGAAAGTGTTTGACAGATGCAGTCAACTCATGCTTTCCATACGAAAGCTTGAAGTGCCGGTCATTTGTGAAGTAAATGGTAATTATATACCTGTATGTGTTAAATGTGTTGATGTTTAGCATTTATGCCATTTAAAGATTGTGTGAGTCGTTGATTAATAATTTGTGTATTAATTAATTGTATTTGATATCATAGTCAGTCAGATATTTGTGTTTATTTTACAAAGGGTTGGCCGCAGCGGCTGGATGTCAGTTAGTGGCCGCCTGTGATATTGTAATCGCCAGTTCCAACAGTCAATTCAGTACACCAGGTATTTATGCCTATTTTACACGAATAGTGAACAACTGTTTTTCATTGGTTGCTGTAAATGCAATAGTTGTAGTTTTATATATGTATGATTGGAAATTAAAAAGGCCTCTAAATATTTTTTTAATGTGTCTAATATTCATACGAATATTTAGTAAGCAATGTGTAATGGGAAAACCTACAAATAGACTCAAGCACAAAAAGAAATACAAGTGTATAAAATTTTGGAGGCCTTTTTACTTTCCAATCATACATATATTCTTTGCAAACATATATTATTTCTATTAAAGTTAAATTTAGTAATTATAAGATTTATATATTTAAAATTTACAAAATATTCTTTATATAGAACTTGTAACGTCTACAATAATAAATTATAAATTTTAAGCGCTAAGTAATTCCTATTAGTTATATGTTGTAAATCTTCATATAATAAATGCCATTAAAGTAATATATTTTTATTCTTAGATTTCCAGTATTTAAAGTATAATTTTTAGATTTTTTAGACATTTTTTTGTTTTGTTTTGAAATTCTACTGAAAGTTATAAAATATTTTTTTAGTGGAAAATAAATTAATCAAAAAAAGTTATAAAAATATAATATAAAAATGTCATTCTAAGAATAAGTTGACAGATAAATACACATCTTTTATAATATCAAAATTACCTTAAAATATAGTTTAATTTATATTTCGACTACATATAAAGTCCACGTTTACATCCAGACAAAACAAGCTGTGGTCGGTATGGAGAGAGGGCAACTGTGAATGAAAAAACGGCTGCTTTTATGCTTATGACGGGTAATCACATTACAGCCAATGGTAAGCATTGTGTGTCTAATTTCTTTAGATATATTTCGGTGAAATACAAAATATTTTTCAAATGTCATACCACTTGAATTGATTCTTATGTTTGTTTTGACGATTCCCTTGTATTGCGGACTTTTATTGCCAAAATTCTTCATATATTTCATATATTGATGTCATAACGAATGTATTCTTGTGTTTATCCACTTATATTTACAAATAGTTTGGCTATTATTTGTATAAAGTGTTAGGAATGTAGATGTGATCCAAACACTGTAATCAATATTTCTTTCAAAGTTTTTGTCTAATAATTCATTATTTGTTGTTTTATTAAAATCCTTTGCTTTTTCGTATGACATAAGCTGGATATTACTACAGAGAATATATTATATGGAAATATTACTTGAATACTAATTCCCGTTACAAATGCTCTATTATTTAAATTATTGTTTGCTCTGAAATTCAGTGAATTTTAAATATATTTTTCGTGAATATTTCATAAAATTTCTAAACCAAACAAATAACAGATAAACACAATTAAAAATCAAGAATACATGGAATATATTAATATTTGTTTTATTTAGCATTTTATGACTAATTCTTAGAATTTATTGAATTTTAGATGAGACTCTAATAACAGCACAAATGTAATAAATATAGTGTATTACAGAACACTCGTAAATTCCTAATCCTTTGCCAGACTATATTGACTGCATTACTACTGATATACAGTATTAACATAAAAGAGGTGTAGGTTTTGATTACTCTTTGATATTTAGCTGCGACTTAAATAAATTGAAATTTAATAAGAAAATGAATTTTCAATTTATAATGCAATAAAAATAATTACTACTAAATGTCAACGGCTTTCGATCGGCTCTTATTGGGAGAGAAATGTTTTTATGAACGTTAGGAATATTCTGTGTGTTATGTAATAAAATGCAAATTACTTTTATAAATATTGTTTAGATTTATCTTCCGGTGCTCTTTTAATATAAAATTTAATAAAACATAAAAAAAGTTTATTTTATCATAAAATTTGGTGATTGAATAAAAATGTTAATATTAGACATGAAGACAAACTAATAATTTTGAATATTTAGAGGCACTTCAAAGTGGATTAGTTTCCCGTGTTGTCAGCGAGCAAGAGCTCAAAAGTGAGGTTCGGAATGAAAATTGCATTTTATTTAATCATATATTCGTTATGATTATGATTATTGTCGTTGAAATTGAGTTTTTATTATTTTCTATCAATACATGTCATGCAGACTAAGACAGTGGTGAACGCCATACTAAGCAAAAGCAAACCCGTGATAGCTTTGGGCAAAAAATTCTTTTACACACAAATCAATCAGAATTTGGAGACGGCTTACGAGTAAATATAGTACTACTGAGCGATTGTTTTGGACTTTTCATTAATAAGCGTATGGTTTGTAATTTAATTTGAATATTAATGCGAAGTAACGGCTCGCGAGTGATGGTCGACAATCTATGGCTCAGGGATGGACAGGAAGGCATATCTGCATTCATTGGCAAACGACCGGCGCATTGGTCTCATAGCGCCGATAGGATTGAGTGAATGTGCATAACGTTTATGGCAATAAAATTATTGTAATTATTGCAAAACATTTTAATAATTCATTATTTATATAACGCTCTAACCTTTAGGTTTAAAACCAAACGCTGTATTCAATTCGCGTATAAGTTATGGTTTGAATATTTTGTGAATTATTACGGAATATATAAAATGCACTTTTTATCGTATTTACGAAAAATAAGTTAGGCACACAATTTGTATTTTATCCGCATTTATAATAAGTGCGAAAGTAAAGCGAATTGACATCAAATTTTATTTAATAATCTTTATAAATCAAAATTTTTCGTTTACGTTATAATTAATTGACAAAAAAATATCGTTAAACGCGTCACTAGTTATGGCCATCGAGTGGATGTCTGTTAGGATTTTGCAAAACACCAAACTTAACACATATTGTAATGTAATAATAGAGATGTCATTCGCAAAATAGATGGGCTTTACCACACACTCTATAGTCGAGTCTTAAACCATATTATTATTTCAATACTCGTGTGTTTAACAGCGAAAAACTTGAAAAATTACACTATCAGTGCCAATGCACGACATAAACACAGCTTTTTATTTCTCATTTTCAAACCAGCATTTTAATGGAAAAATTGTTGACTAGTTTTGAAAATATTATTTCATTTCATCAGTTTGAATTTTATTTTTGAAACGTTTATAAAATTCACTTCAATTTTGGATTCTTTATATAATTGTATAAAGAATTTATTCTCTTATTTAGTTTTATAAGTATTTTAGACATTCATAGTATTGATGAGT